TTCTGGTGTACTTTCCTCTTAACCAGAACCATCTGGAAGCAATCCTGCATTCACACGATGGACTTCTCGTCGTCTTTGGCCCTCGCTCTCAACAAATCCCATCAGCCCAGGAACAGCTGCTGGAGAATCTGGCCTGACGCCAGGGGTGAAGCTACAGCGCCCTCCCTTGTACTGCCGGGGCCCCAGCTTGCTCATCACCCCACGCGGCTGGACACAGAGCACGAAGAACACAGATCCTTCACCAGAAAGTGAAATCACCAGCGGTCACAGGAGCAGGGACTTGGTGCCACAAAGCCAGCTGTGAGAAACTGTTGTTTCAGCCCGGTAACACAGACGCCTGCCAGCAAATTATGGCCTGAGACGGCTCAGAGGGCCGTGGGTCTGGACGTTCTGCTCGTAACGCCAGCTAGTGTGCATCCTGCAACAGCAGCTCCACACAAAGGGCCAGGGAGGAAGGGCAGCGGCTCGCGCCGAGTCCAAGGCCAGAGTTCTGGCCCCAGGACCAATGACACCAGGCACAGAAAGCGAGAGCTGGGATGCGTCAGGGACCGACTCAGCACTGGGGGCGCTGTTAGAAAATGCCTTTGGAAATCAAGCCACTGTGTAAACTACCTGAGCAGGCTGGGAAAGGGTTAGGGTTAGGAGCCAGGTGAGAGAGGATTTCATTAGGAAGGTCCTGGTGGCGATAACCTTTTGTCCTCTGTGCAACCTGGGCCTGCCAAGCTGCTCCACCGTCTCCGAGAAAGCGTGAGGGTGGGGGAGAGAAAGGATCCCCATCAGGAGGCAACAGACTCATCCTTAATTATGAGAGGCTTCCCAGAGCCGACGCCCTCCCCCTCACTGCCTCCCGGCTGCAGACACACCGCAGAAAGCTGGCAGGGTGCTGCTCTAATGAGAGCGATCGATTTTCCTAAGTAAAGGAGATTCGGTTCTTTGGGGATCTTCCCCATCATCACCACGTGGCCCCAGTCCACGCACAGACTTTAGTGACGAGTGGGAAGCATCACCGTTTAATTTGGCCAATGGTCCATCAGGTCAGACTGGGAAGTAGAAAAGTTACTACCTCAGCAGCTCCTGAAATGCCTCATTCCATCCTCTTGTCCTCTAAAGGACTGTCAAGGAGACACTGATCCTGGTAGATGGAGGTCCCCTGCTTAAACTTCCATCGCAGTTCAGAACTGAATGATTATGTCTGATCTTACCCGGAAAAAAAAAAAAAGTTGATGCATTGTATCAGAAAGAGCCCCAGGCTAAAAGTCAGAAACCCGGGTTATTCTGACATTTTCGCACTAGTGGAAGCTGACTAAACCACTTCATCCCCTCTGAGCCTCAATTTGCTCAACTGCAAAATGGAACAAGGGAGGAGGAATCACTGGGCATTTGGCAGTTCAGCCTGAAGTGAGGCTGTCTGGGGTCACAGACTGGCTTCTCCTCTCACTAGTTGTGTGACCTTGAGCAACTCGGCCCCTGTGCCTCAGTCTCCTCATCTGTAAAATGTACCTAGTTCCTAGGATTGTTCAACATGAGGAGTCATGTAAAGGTCTCATCACAGTGCCTGGCCCTTAGCTCTCCCACTCACTGTCAGCTAGCCCCACGATTAGTGGGGGACAAGCAGGCAGATAAAAATTTCCACAACTAGGTCTTTGCTACAAGGGTTCAACAGCTGGCAATAGGTGAACCCCTATTTGTTAAAAAGGTTTCAGAGACACAAGCTCACAGGCCAAGGCTAATTCGGAAGGCAAGAAACGTAAAGGAGGGACGAGGTAAGGACTTACTGTCTCCTTGAGCGTGACACACTGCCAATACTCACCAGTCCACCTTCAACCAATCCCGACAGCTTGGTAGTAATTGGAGGCTTTTGTGGGAAAAGGGACCCTGCTGATCCATTTGCCTGCCCTTCTCTCTCTATACACAAATCAGACAGGTAGGAAATTGGAAGCCCATGTTTCTTCAGTCCTAAAAAATAACTGCTAGATTTGAGGTTTTCTGTTAGAGGTTAAAAACATTTTTTAGGGCTTCCCTGGTGGCACAGTGGTTGAGAGTCCACCTGCCAATGCAGGGGACACGGGTTCGTGCCCCGGTCCGGGAGGATCCCACATGCCGTGGAGCGGCTGGGCCCGTGAGCCATGGCCGCTGAGCCTGTGCGTCCGGAGCCTGTGCTCCGCGGCGGGAGAGGCCACAGCAGTGAGAGGCCCGCGTACTGCAAAAAAAACAAAGAAACAAACAAAAAAAACACATTTTTTAAAAGAACTCATTAAAGTTGGGGGGTGTGTGGGGGTGGAGTTTACATAGGCAGTGGTCTAAATTGGCTTTAAACTTCCCAACTTCTTCCAACAAAGATGTAAACAGCTCTCCTTTTCCTTAAGCATCATTTTCAAATCATAAGTAACAACAGATAGGAAATACACAAAGACGTACATCAATCTCTGCTCGCAGCCGAAGCTGTGAGCCAACAGCCATGCAGGGAACTTTGCTGCAACAAATGAGCAAATCATGTCTGACTGAAGCCATTCTCAATCTTGGCTTCTCGGTTAATTCGGTACCTTCTGTGGAGTTCCGTACAATTAAAGAGAGCCCATTTATGGGCTATTTACTCGCTGAAGACCTCGCTAATGTGCGTTTGTGTGCACGTACCTGAGATAGAGAGCAAAAGAGAGAGTAACTGTGTGTGTATTACGTTGGATGTAATCTAATCCCTGAACCTATCTGCATTTTAAAAAACTGTAAAAAGGGGTAATCTTTAGCCATTTGTTTACCAAGTTGGTTTTGACTGCTGAGATCTCATTTGCCTTTTTGGCATAGAAAAAACATACAAACGGCCTTGCCTCGAGCACAACATGGCTCGTGTGCAGGCTCTCTTCATTCCTACCCTTCCCACTGACCACCTACACGTCGGCCTGCCCCCCCGTCAACTTCTGTGGATCGCGCTCTTCTTCCTTTCATCCAATAAACAAACACGGCCTGTCGACTACATGTCGGGCACAGGACGAGGCACTGGGCTGCCCCACAGGGGGCTTACAGACTAAGTATAATTCGAGTAATTGATGACTTACCTCTTACATTTATCCCTCGGCCTAAGTCATCTGGTTTCTTGTTCATTTCCGTGCCTTCTCTGTTTTCTGCTTCCAGCCCTCTATTTGGCTCTAGGGATCTCACATACATATTGCTATGACAGTTTTTCTCTGGGTACCTGAATCTGTTTTCTCTCCTGGTCAGTCTCCTTCAAACTCCTCTTAGAGCAAGCTTCCTACAACATCGCTCTCATCATTTCATTCTCCGCCGAAACACACAAGAGTGACTTGCAGCCTCCCACAGTAAATCCTAATGTCTCTACCTGGCTTCCCACATTCTGATACATTCCCTCAGTACCAACTGAGCCTAATTTCCCACAGCCGCTCCCCCCCCCCCTCCCAATTTTGGCCATTTCCCGCGCTGTCTCTTAGATCTGCTCTTTTGGTTTGTGTGTTTACAGCCACATGGGTTCCTACCCTGGGATGCCTTTCCTTCCATCTTTCCAAATTCTACAAAAACCAGACCAAACTCTGCCACGGTTTTCTGAATTACACAATCCCTCACCTTAAACTTTTCTGTAAGGAGTGCTGACTTTGCTGACTGAATAAAAATGAATTTGCGAGAAAACCCAGTCTGGGGCAACAAAACTGCAGAACTCAGAGCTGCAAATATGGTGAGCCCTTTCCGATAAATCCGCTCACGTTTTAGAGCAGGGGTAAATATTTTAGGCTCTGCTACAACCACTCAACTGCCCTGCTGTTGTGTGAAGGTAGTGACAGATCAAACATAAACAAATGAGCGTGGCTGTACTTTTAAAACTTATTTACGAAAGGGGTGGGGGGTGGAATTTGGCTCTCAGGCCGTAACTTGCTGACCCTTTTCTAGAAGAAGAGAGGATACTGGTGAGGACCTTCTCTTTAGATGGCAAAGGACAACCGGACGTGCCTTAGATCAGCCTCTGATCCTCCCGAGTGGCTCGACTGTCTCTTTAAGACAGTACGTACCCTAGGAGTAGATTCCCAGCCTAGAAGTCATCACCATGGGAATTTGGGCTGTGACCATCTGTTATAGCTATTCCGGTCAAAGAAGAAGAGATAGTGGAATTGACTTTGTCACCTGTGTTGGGGACGTGGTGAGGAAAGAGGCCACTGTTTCCTTCTGCTGACCTCCAGCGTGGCAGGAGGCTCCCTGGTCAGGATCACAGGGCCTAGAGCAAATCTTCACCTACACTTCTTTGTGCCGGGCACTGCTCTCTCATTTCATCCTTACACCAACCCTATGAGATTTAAGTACTTTATCATCATATCTATTTTTCAGTTGGAAGAAACCGATGAGGTCTTAGTCAGTGTTAGCTACTGACACACATAAACGGTTTTGGTGCCTTATATCGGTGTGTTTGGGGAATAAGATGCCCCTTGCCACGAGTTCTTATTTCGATATGAATGTGATGAAATCATGAAGACAGCTCATTACCTCTGGTGCTTACAATCACCCTTCAAAGAGTATTCTTTTCACTTTATTCATGGGAAATGGCACTCATAGGGGTTAAGTAGTTTATCCAACTTTGCCTATTCAGAAAGGTCAGAGTTATGATTCAAATCTAAACTGGTCTGGCCAAACAGAGCTCTGGTTCATTCCTCTGAGCCCCGCTACCTCTTTAGTAATCCTAACCTAAAAACCCAAGTCTAATGTGTTTTTAAAAGCCCCCCAATGCTTGCTCTGTATAAAGTGAGGAATTACATCAGCTTCGTGGGTCTAGTGTCCCCAAGGAGGGCCTCAGAGAGCAGAAAAGCAAACCAACGCCCAGATGGGAGAACTGGCGCCCAAGCAAAAGCAGCAGAAGTGGGCGTAGCCCCTTTTCGTTCCCCACAAACCCAGGTCTCTGGCTGCACCTCCTGATCCAAAGTGCGGAAGTGGCTTTTTACGGTGGTGGCGCTTCCTTCACACACGCTGCAGCAGTGCCAAGGCAGAGGGAGACGTGTTCTTACCAGCCTGTCATATTAAAATCCCTGTAGAGCATCTTCTTCCCAAGTTCCTTTCTCTGTACTCTCCTTGGAAACTCCAAATGTGTGAACTCATTTCCCAGCAAGTGAGGCTGCATGAATGCCTAATAGCAAAAAGAAAAGAAAAGGAAAAAAAAAAAAAAACCCACACATATTTAGAGGAAAAAATAAGACCCAGGGATGTTTTTGCAAATTGAGACAGCCCACATTTCAGAAACAAGAACACTGTTCTCAAATTTTAAGGGAGATAAATAGATTGAAGACTCTAAATACAAATAGAATATCAACAAATAAAAATCATGAATGTAATTTATAAAGGAATGTGACTTTTTCATTGGATATGATAAAACTAACGGTAATCAAAGACGTGTATCTCTCAAGCAAGGAAAAGGTTCACTTTTTAATTCAAATTCAAGATGGTTTCACTTGGGCTGAATGGCACGGTGAGGAGGTAGGAAAGCTCCCCCTGACTCTCTCCTCCTTGGCTTTCTCTGCTGGCCTCCTATTTGTACGCCTAGTTATTGGGCCTGGCCTCTGAAAGCTGCATGTGGGTCTCCATGTCAACACAATGGCCTGAGAGTGCGGAGCGGGTTGGGACTGGATGCACCAGACAGGAACTTTCTGTTGGACTCCCTCCATTTTGCTCTGCAGTAATTTGATCATGTAATTGGAAGACTGTTCCAGAACAGATGGCTTCTTCCCCTCCCCCAAATCTCTGTTCACACTACAAAAGTCTTGAGCAAACAGCCACTTAGGGAATTGCTTTGAAACAACAAACAGTCGCATTGTCACACTCAAAATTCAAATCCAGTTATCCAAGAGATGAAATGCTCAGGTATGGACTTCCCTGCTCAGAGGCCACACACTGTAAGGAGACCTGCCCCGGAGCCGTCCCACACCAAGCCGTATACCTGCTTATTAGCAGTGTACTGGAATGGATCTTCTCTCTCTCTCTTCTCTTTCTGGCAGGGAAAAGAGTGGGTGGAGCAAATCACGGCCTGGCACCATAGGATAGCCAGTGCTCCCTGCCATAGGACAGATGGCCATATCCTCGGTCTCCTGAAAAAAGGCATCTCCCACAGCCTCTTTCCCCCAGGACCTGATGCTGGCAGATCTCCCACTGATTCTCATGGTGGTCTGGAGGTCTCAGCTGGATGGTAGCCATCAGAAGCTAAGTGCATCAAGAGTCAAAGGAAGCAAGCTGAACTGTCCCCAGGCTGGTCAGATTGGACCAGCTAAAAGAACTCCGAGCCAGTGATGCTGGGCAGGCTTTGGGGACAGGATGGGACAGGACTGAGAATGAGAAGAGAGGCTGTCCTGTCTGCTGTAACCAGCAGGTTCCAGGTCGGAGGGGAATTCTGGATCATCTTCAAGGGGCCCTGAAACCTCTGCTGGGGATGAGGCTTGGGCTGCCTATGGGTATCAAGGACACTTAAACACTGGGTTTTACAGAGAAGTTCCTTGGGGAGGCAGCGGGGGAGGGAGGGAACTAATATTCATAGCGCAGGTCAATGGGGTAGGCTTTGGGTGAAACTTTGGGTTTGAATCCAAGCTCTGAATTTATAAGCTGTGTGATTTTAGTGGTGATTTAAGTGCTTGGGCCTCAGTCTCTTTACCTGTACATCGAGATTAACTGAAGATTTATCTCATACTGTTCTAACAATGAAAGGAAATGACATCTACAGTGCACTTATCATGACTGTCTCTGCTCGTAAAAAGAAAATAATTTAGCCCTCTAGTAATCATGGAGCCCTATTACATCCTGAGTACTACAGTATTTCTTGAGCTCTCATTGCACACCCACGCCAACCTTATGGGCGGGACTGGCTACCTAATCTGTGGGGCCTAGTGCACAAGGAAAATATTGAGCCTCTATTCAAAATTAAAAATTCCAAGAAGGTGACAGCAGAGCATTAAACCAAGTGCAGGGCCCTGGGCAACTGCACAAGTCATGCCCACAAAGCCAGACGTACTTACAGAGTAGATACCATTCTATTCCTCTCCTTTATTTTGGTCCACCCGTGAAAACTAAGGACCAGAGGCATTAACAGTCAATAACAGCAGCATTTTTATGTACCCTCGATCATCTCTCAGAACTTTGGGACTGAATTAACATGGCGTTTTTGTCTACACACCCCCCCTGCCCTCCAAGCTGGAGTGACACTGATTTAGGGGTTACCATGTGTCAGGCACTCGATACGCCTTATGTTATTACCTCAACAATCCTACAAAGCACATGTTATGACTCAATTTACAAAGGAGGAAACTAAGGTCCAGAGAGGTTAAGACACCTAGCCCAAGGCTATCAGCCAGGAATGGGTGGTTCTAGAGCTTAAGCTTAATATCAAACCCATAACCCCCATCTTAACCCTTATGTTGGCCCTTTAACCTGCACACATTTACAAAACACAGTAAGTGGGCAACAACAGGCCTGTGATCCATGCCAAGTATGAACCACAAACCGGCACCCATGACGATCCAGTTAACAAAAAATTACAGATCTGCACACAACTTGGCCACGAGGATGCTCCTCAAGTAGCGAGAAGAAATCATTTAATAATACGAGTGATTAAACCAGCATAAATCCACACAAAAGAATTCTGTGCAATCACATACAAAGGTGTTATACAGAATATGTAATTACACAGAAAGAGCTGATCTACTTGTGAAAAACAGCATATCAAACAATGTGTCTGTGAGTGTGCAAGTGTATGAGCTTACGTGAATCGTGTCATACATATACACAGATCTATATAGGACATGCATGTATACGTAAATGAGTATGCATGTGTATAAACATAGGTACACAATACACATATACATTACATAACACATAGGTTAGGATGCAAAGGCCATTCCTAAGTACATTTTGTACCCTCGTGCCCTTTCTCCTGGAATACATTTGCCTGGGCAGTTGTACCTGGAGAAGTCTGCGGGGTAGCTGGGAACTCCCCAGCAGCTTGCTGTCTGCAGGGGCCACCTCGCCCCTCCTTCTGGGGATGGGCAGCCTCAAAGGGGCCTTGAACCGTGTGTCACCTGTGACATCCGTTGCCCCTTCACATGCAGAGCCTTTCAGGGTCTCAACAAAACTCCTGTTTCCCCCCTTGTAACAACAGGCTACCGTATTTCATCAGTTCTAAGATGCCCTTTATTAGATGCGCCATTATTTTGTTACCTCTAAGGAAGGGCAAAAACAGCTGCCAATTAAACGATGCACAGTGCTTTCTTTACCACTTCAAATTTTTAATTTATTATTTTTGAAAGAACTCCTTTAGATGCAGACAAAATTCTATTATCTATCACTATTGTGCATATTTAGGAAGGAATATATAAGTGAAGTGAATCGGTTAAGATTGTTCCAAAACGTTTTCACATTTAGAATCCAATGGCACTCATTGCTTTCCAACTCTGAATCATCCTGTGTTCGTGATTTTCCACACAAGAGCGGGCTGTGTTTCAGGGGTGCATTGGTCATGCAGCATTTCTTAAACAACCCACAGAAGAACTGCAAGACAGAAGCCAGCTTTGCAACCTTCCAGAGCCCGCTTGCTTCTGACTCCCACTTTGGGAATGTGGCTGAGCAAGTCTGGTCACTCCTCCCCAAGCCCCTCTGCACGACTAGTTGCATCCAAAAAGTGCTTCACTTCTGTCTGCAGGGTTTTCCTTCAAGCTGCTGGATGCCAGTCCTGAAGTTTTGGTGCTGCTCTTTTGATGTTTGCTCATGCTTAGGAGATGACAGCCATGTCACGCCTGCCACCTGGCTGACAGCAACAATCAACTGTAAAATATCCGAACTTCAAGTATGTCAAAAGGTAAGAGGAAAAAGCGTGCCCTAGCTCTGAGGAATTATTGTGATATTCATCCCCCATTGATACGGATGTCACATCCTTGGATTTCTCTCTCTTTGTGGTATTTTTCTTCCTCTGGCTGGTTGCCACAGCACATTTCACATCTTACATGACACATTTTCCATTACAATCAGGCCCACCACAGAATGCATGTGTATTCCATGTGCACCTAGGACATATCCCGCCATGACATATTTTTACACTGCTTTAAAGTCACCATCTGTGGTAAAGTAGCAGGATACAAAATTAATTCACAGAAATCTTTTGCATTCCTATACACTAATGATGAAAAATCTGAAAGCGAAATTCAGAAAACACTCCCATTTACCACTGCAACAAAAAGAATAAAATATCTAGTAATAAACCTACCTAAGGAGACAAAAGACCTGTATGCAGAAAACTACAAGACACTGATGAAAGAAATTAAAGATGATACAAACAGAGGGAGAGATACACCATGTTCTTGGATTGGAAGAATCAACATTGTGAAAATGACTATAGTACCCAAAGCAACCTACAGATTCAATGGAATCCCTATCAAACTACCACTGGCATTTTTCACAGAAATAGAACAAAAAATTTCACAATTTGTATGGAAACACAAAGACCCCGAATAGCCAAAGCAATCTTGAGAAAGAAAAACGGAGCTGGAGGAATCAGGCTCCCTGACTTCAGACTATACTACAAAGCTACAGTAATCAAGACAGTATGGTACTGGCACAAAAACAGAAATATAGATCAATGGAACAGGATAGGAAGCCCAGAGATAAACCCATGCACATATGGTCACCTTATCTTTGATAAGGGAGGCAAGAATATACAATGGAGAAAAGACAGCCTCTTCAATAAGTGGTGCTAGGAAAACTGGACAGCTACATGTAAAAGAATGAAATTAGAACACTCCCTATCACCATACACAAAAATAAACTCAAAATGGATTAAAGACCTAAATGTAAGGCCAGACACTATCAAACTCTTAGAGGAAAACATAGGCAGGACACTCTATGACATAAATCACAGCAAGATCCTTTTTGACCCACCTCCTAGAGAAATGGAAATAAAAACAAAAATAAACAAATGGGACCTAATGAAACTTCAAAGCTTTTGCACAGCAAAGGAAACCATAAACAAGACAAAAAAACAACCCTCAGAATGGGAGAAAATATTTGCAAATGAAGCAACTGACAAAGGATTAACCTCCAAAATTTACAAGCAGCTCATGCGGCTCAATATCAAAAAACTAAACAACCCAATCC